AGACGTGAATACCCTTCTGAAAGTTTTTATTACCAAGAGTTTGCTGACATCCTCTAACTTGAGGACAGTATCTAGTGGATAAAGGTGGAGTGTTATGCAGTTGAATGTCAGGGATTTCTTTTAAACTCATAAACACAGGGGCATGATCGGAACCTTCCAACTTTATGCTTCCCCCTCCTTTCCATCTATAGCTGCAAGGGTAAAATAGTCATTTACTCACATTCAAACAGTTCATTCAGTTGAAAAAAGAAAAAAGAAAAGGCTTTATGTATACAAGTATACAACACTTATTGCAAAGAGAATGAGTTAATAGTAAATAGCCAAGGGATGATGTGTTTGAGGCAGGGGTAAAAGGGTAATTTTACCTAGGTGTGGTCCCAGGTTTCCACCGTTTGAATTGTGTTAATATATCACAATCTTTTACATGGCATGAGAAAAAGTTGTGACTTTTGAGATCCTTATTTTCATGTATGCATGAACCACTAATTAAAATATGATCAATTCTTGAACCAAAATTGAACATTTCACCACCTGTGTTTGTAGACCAACATGTATACGCTTCTTTTCTATAAAAAAAATAAAAATAATAATATTGAAAAAGTAGTTGAGAAAAAAAAAAGATCATCAATAATTTTTGGTCCATTGACATCAGTCTGAGTCTCAGAATCTCAGTCCAATGCAGGCTACATGCAGTATAATCTGTTTTGTCATGTCTTGTCCTATGTAAGAAACAGGGACTAAAAGTGTAAATATTAACTACAAGAGTTGTCTAAAACCTTTCAGGATGTTTTCCTCTGAACACATCGAAGAACAAGCCTCCATTTTCCACTAATAAAGATCTAAACCAGCTTCTAAACCTAATAATATTCGAAAATATAGTTTAAACTTTTTCCTTACAAGATTTAACATTTAAAAAAATATATATACAATTATGAACTTTGGATAAAAGTAAGAATTTAGAAGCTCACTCATTATTCTCAAAATCTGGTCCTGCATCACACCTATCTATAGAAGAAGGAGCAATGTTTAAATCACCAACAACAATTATCCTCTTTCCTTTAAGCATAAAAGACTCCCATCTTTTCTATATAACAAATCAAGATAACCAATCAGAGAGAGCCAAGTGTCAATATGTATTTCTCGTGTCATATTATTACCTGCATTATCTTATAGAATGAGAGCTTGAATTCAATTCTTTCTGTGTCATCAGATGCAGCTCGAGGCCCATAAATGTTGAAGAGAACTGTAATAATTTATGCTTCAATAACATAACTTTAGAGATATTAAAACTAATGTTGCAGTGTTTTGAAAAGTAATAGCATGTCACTTACCAAAATGGCCATGATCAGTGATAATACAACGCCCCTCATTGTCAATTTTAAGAAGTTCATCTCTGTCAAAATCCTCAAGCCCTTCCACACATGTGAGAAGATCGTGTTTTTTAGTTGTAAATCCTTTAGAATTCTCTAGAACACCAGTGAAACCTTCTTCTGCATCAAGTGGAAGTGCAACTTCATTGCTTGAAAAAGCAGAATTTACTTTGCAAAATGTTGCAACACCTGCATTAATAAATAAATTGATAGAAGATAATCATTAATTATCGTTGTGAATGTGATTGGGGCATTTTAACGAACAGTTTAGCTGCTTACCGGAATAACCAGTGCGGCCTTTTTCAAGAGAACGTGTGCAAGAAAAGAAGGACTCGTACCCATCTGCTGAAACTACGTCAGCTCTTAGTTCTTTTCTAGATAATTTCGTTTCCTTAAAACCCAAAAAGGAAAAGTGAAATCAGGTGATGAAGGGATCGGATAAGTATAAAATTAGGCGGAATTCATTAAGCATAAGAAATAATTTGCAGATTCATTAATGGAAAGAGATGGAAAAGGGACCTGAAAGCAGATGATGTCGGAATCAAGAGAATCAAGGAGTTTACGGAGGGAGCCATACTGAGAAATTCGAGGTCTCAGTCCGTTCACGTTATACGTTGCTATCTTCATTCATAACTTAATTACTTCCTCTTCAGCGAGCAAACTCCAACCAGGCAAACCGCCATTGTTGGAGACCTAACGAGGCCTTGAAGAATCCCTTTTCCATCCAATACGACGTCGTCTTTTGTTTTTTTTTTTTTTTTTAAAAATGTTTGATTGTAAATATTTGTATAAATGTTATCCTTGAAACATATAGATAAAAGAGTAAATTATATTAATGGTCCTTGTAGTTCGATGTAATTTGTGTGTGTATCTTTAACTTATTTTTTTAATTCGGATTATCTTTATTATTTAAGTTTATGTGTTTTGTCCTGTCGCTTTTAAAAATACTATTTTATCATTAATAATTATTTTTAAATTATTTTATTTATTACATAATTATTTATATTATTAATTTATTCAAAAAATTGACAATAAGTTGTAGGTCTCACCTCACACTTATCCCTATCTTGATTTCTTTTTCCTTATCTCAAACCCGGAGGATCTCTATCTCTTTACTCTTTTCTGTCGCCAACAACACTGGAATACTACCACCTTCTTGACGTTTGGCGCTACCATTGGAAGAGGGATATCACCAGCCATGTGGTCCTGCAGATACGTAATAGCTAGTTGTTGACAACCTCGTCTAATGTGTACTTGGGAATACATGTTGCAAAAAGAAGACAAAAGCTAGGTTAGAAAGTCATACCGAGGGATGGACCTCGGTATTCTCTCTGATGCCTAAGTTAGATGTCGATTGAAGTTATAGGTAAAATTGCTCAGGTTCGAGAGTAAATTTGTACCTTATCGATGTGTCTTCAAAGGCTTTTATAGGCATCTCGATGTTCTTTGCTACAAGGTTCTATTTGGTAGCTTGCATTACCCGGGTAGAGACATATATGTGGTTCATACTGGTTGGTACTTTTTTATTGTTGGGATCTTGTACTTGTGCGTAATTTTTGGGATATGTCTTTTTGGGAAACATTGTCCGTCATGTATTGATATTGTCATATGGGTTGATTTTTTATGGACAATTGTGTTTTGTCGCTTATCCACCAATTTGTTGTACCCGGGTCGGTATTGGTTAGATTGGCCGACCCGGATACACCATTAATGATTCCAATGCCCTCACTCATTAACCTCACTAACTCACCAAACCATTCTTCATATTGACAACCTCAAATTCCACCTCTCTCGCCATTGGCAAACACCTCCCCTACCTCCCCATGTTCGACACCATCAACCCTCATACTTTGTTCCAAACTTCGACCACCCACTCTCTTCCATCTAGCATCTGTAACCTTAAAAAAAACTCATCAAAAAAATCAAACTCTACCATCACCAATTCACCTTTTGTAACCTAAAAACTTCGATTATCTCCTCCCCCACACGATTGAAGCTTTAGTCACACTCAGGACTTTTGTTCACGTCCAATTCCTATTGATTAAGAACATTTTTCATGTTTTTCGGTTTGTTTTAAATCTATAGGGGATTAAGAATCACATATCACCATCCTAAGCAACATAGATGGAAGGGTTGGGATTCTTCTTCAGCAGAATGGCATGATGTAGTGGAAAACATGACATAATGTCATTAAATATGTTAAACCATATCATATAAAAAAACATTTAGAAATGAGATGTTACAATTGACCCAATAAAAAAACTTGGACTAAAGTTGCCCGATCAACCAAAACATATTTGGTCACCAACCTTTTTTTTACATAATTTATCATTAAAAAACGAAAAGTAGAAATGTAATATATATGTGATGAATTTTTTAACGGATGTAATTTGTTTTGTAAAAGGATGAATTTTTAATAACATTATATTAGTAGTTTTATATGTAATTGTAATTTACCAAAGTAAGCTAAACATGAAAAAGTAAGAAGAAACGTAAAAAAGAAATAAGTTGGGAAAGAAAATTATAGAGTTTTATAAATAGTGTTTTGAAAAAAAATATTTTTTCTTAAACTAAGTCATATAAAAAAATGTTAGTAACCAAGAAAAATAATTTGTTACTTTATAATACATTAATCCATTAGAAAATTCAATACAAACCATTTGGATTAGCTATTATTAGTTAAAATAATATATTTTAAACATTGATATAAATATAAAATTAATAATATAAATATAAGATTAATAGTAAGGGTGTTTGAGATTGTCTTTCAAAACAACTTATTAATTTGTTGGCTTTTTGAAAAATAAATAAATAAATGTTTGACAAACTAAAAAGTATTTTTTTCAAAATAGAATTTCTATTACCTTTAAAAATAAGATTTTAAAAAACATGTTAAAATTGATTTTTTTAATCTGCTTTTAATATTTTTTTAAGGGAAAATGTCATATTAGCCCATCAAACTTATCATGTTTGTTTTAAAATGTCACTAAACTATTATTTTTGCACATTAAGAGAACGAACTTACATTTCCATGTTTTAAAATACCATTTATGTTACCTGAAACTGGGTTCAAAAGTAATATACATGCCACGAAGGAAAATGTCGGTGCCATGTCATTTAATGAAATGGTCACGTGTAGTACATTTATCTTAATGTGTTTTAAATAAACCGATTGTGTTCTACAATCTTCTCCCCCTCATTCCACCATAGTAACTGTAAATCGATGGCTATATTATTCTCAATCAAAGTTCATTTCCAAGGTGTGCTCATCAACAAACCTTTTTGTTATTCTGATGGTGTTCATCATGTATTCAAAATATCGATTTTGTTGGTATGTCATATAATGAATTTGTGGGTTTTCTTGAACGATTCACACGAGAGAAGTATGAGAAACTTTATTACTGTCAACCTGATTTACAAATCCCAGAAGGTTTAACCTTGATTTCTAATGAACTTCATTATCAAGAATTTATAGACATTGCTTATGGATGTGTAGTACAACTGCCTGTTTACACGGACCATTTTGGTACTACAGTGCACATAACTAAGGAAAATGAAAATGAAGATAATTGTTCTGTGAAGTCAAACATGTAAATCGAAGGGGAAGAAGGTATTGACCTAACTGACTTCATGAGTCCACAACAGAGCAACATGGAAAGAGTAACCTATGAAGGAGTACGTCCACCAAATGGAAATGAGGATGCCACAGAAGGTGATCCAAAAGATGATGAAGGTGACAATGCTTCAGATGTTGAAGATGACAATGTCCCAGATGTGAAAGGAAAACCAATGTTTAATGAATACATATCTTGGAAGAAAGCAGTTTCCAGTTCTAGGTATGAGGTTCACCAACCCTAAAAAATTGAAATTCATGCTTTGTAAATATGTTGTAGCCAATGGGTATCAACTGTACTATGAAAAAAATGACAGTAAAAGGTTAAGTGTTGTGATGGTGAATGCACATTTAGGCTCTGGGCGTCATGGATGAGTGAGGAGCACTCATTCCAAATCAAGTCCCTTATCAATGAGCATAATTGTGCAAGAAATTTTAAGTTAGGGTCAATTGTTAATTATAGATGGATTGGTAGTCATTTCACCAGGGAAGTTCTCGAGAATCAGAAATTCAATGTTAGGATGCTAAAGGAGAAAGTAAAGACTAAATTTGGCATAGAGGTTAATATGGGACAATGTAGGAGAGCTAATTAACATACATTGTCTCTTGTTGAAGGTACCATAGTGGAAAATTATGCAAAGTTGTGGTCCTATGGTGAGGAGATAAGAAGGTCTGATCCAGGGTCAACAGTCAAGTTGTCTGTGAACTCTATGCCAAATGGGAAAACTTACTTTAGCAGGAGATATATATATATATATATATATATATATATATATATAT